CATATGTAAGATGAGCTTCATGCTCAATATGTTATCAAGAATAAAAAAAGCCTTTAATATTATAATTATTATTATAAATAATGTGCTACAACTCTAAAGCAGATAACAGGTTTACTGTGTAAGGGAACATATAACCTTAACTCTAACACACATTTTTATGTAAAACGTGCTACAACTGAAGTCTTAACACAAATTACAGGTATAATGTGTTAGATAACATGTAACTTTAACTCTAACATAAATTACAGATATAATGTTCTATGCACAACTCCAACAGAAACCACATGAATGATGTGTAAGGTAACACAAATTACAGCAATAATTTAAAAGGGAGACAACTTTGATGCAAATGACACTTATAATGTGTTACAACGCAAACACAAAGTTACAGGTATGGTATGTAATGCAGCATGTATCATTAAGTGTGTTAGACTGTACAAAAATCACTAGCATGTATCAGGGGTTAGTACCGCGGATAATAATTTTAAATATATATGTAGGTTTTTTTTCATGTTTTTAAAATGCATCACATGCATTGCTGGCTGTTTTGACAATTTGTTGACTTATTTAGCCGTTCCCGCCTCAGCGTTCCCGCCCTACATGGTAGACTATGAGGATGACCAGTATAGTAACTGTTACGACCCTGAATCCAGTAACGGTTACCTTGAGAGTCAGTATCAGGTCATTAAATGGCAGCCCTTCCAGGTACAGAAGTGGAACGTCCTCACAGACGCCAACCTCAAAGACCTGTACGTACCAAAGTGTGTCCAGCATTAGGCTGAACTTTTTTAAATTTTTCAAAAGGTGTAGCTCATATGCGAATAAATTATTACCATATTTATCCGGCAATAAGCACATGCTTGGTAATAAGCCCTCTAATATAGTGCTGCATGTTTGGAAGAAATACCAACAAGAGCTTTTTCATTGTCCTGTAATAAGCCCATCCACCTACTTTTAGTCAGAGATTACGGTATGTGTTGGCCCGGGGCTTGTTGCAGGAAAAAATACGGTAGTTGATATTGCAAGAGAATCTAACAAAGTTAAAATCAAATGCTGAAGGTTCCAGATGGAAATCCATTGTTAAAGTCAATTGTGTCACTACGAAATAAAAGTTCAAGTGAGATTCACATGTTAAGTTGGTGCAAAATACAAAACGTAAAATCTTTCATTTAACCTGTTCTTTTGTCTCTCCCACAGGCCTCCCCCGCAGTACAGAGTCGACTCGGACAAAGGTTTTAATTTTTCGGTGTCGGACGACTCCTTTGTTTGTCAGAAAAAAAATCACTTCCAGGTAACAGTTCATATTGGAATAGGCGCTGAACCCCGATATGTTCGGACGACGGATGGGGTCAAGAAAATTGATTGTTTCTGTATCCATTTCCATGGAGTGAAGGTAGGTTCTGCTTCATTCAGCACCATATCATACTGTCACCCTGGTACAAAATAGTAGCTGCTTCCTACAGCCTTGGATAGGGAGAATTTCTATTTAGCTCTTTGGTAGAGCCTGAGACTAATAAACCAGTTTGAAAAAATAATGACCTCTGTTACATTTGTACCAATGTAGGGACCCGGGAGATATAAAAAAAAATATCAGCGATACTTGCAAAGGAATCCCTATGACCCCAGGAAAACTTGGGACGAGTTCTTAACTGGAAGGAGTGTATGTCACCCTGGTAAAAAATATTAGCCGCTTCCTTACTGCCTCGGCTGGGGAGAATTTCTCTTTAGCTCATTCGATGGAACGTAAGACTAATAAACCATAGGTTCCGGTTTCAACTCCTAGCAGAGCCAATGAAAAAATTATGACCTCTCTGTAACACATGGTTATTCTATGCTCCATGATAGTAGGGGGGGGATGTGTCTTTGTCCTGTCCTGTCCTGTCCTGTCCTGTCGCATCCCGTCATCATCATCCTGATTTACTGTTATTGTTCCTAGAGACCATACTTAATGATTGGATGTTTAATAATAATGTGTTGTCTTTTACTATGATAACAGTAAAAATTCAAATTTCAACCCATTCATCCGTGAAATTTTATATTGAATTATTCCAAACTTTGAGTTGGAGGAGTTCAAATGCGTCTTCAGGGATGAATGAGTTAATTACTGCCAGTGATACCGGGACACGTTAGTTATATTACCTTGTTTTCTTAATATTCATGAAGAATTAAATCAGTAGCTGCTGTGTTCTTGACTATGTTTTTAGTTGCCTTTCTCATATTTGCAGCAAACTGTATGTAATCACTGTGTTTTATATTATGTAAAAGTTGAACTTATTTACATCAAAAATGAAAAGGCACAAACCTGTAGCAGACAAGTTAGGTATATTTGCCTCAGTTAACAGGATAGCATGGAAACATCTGTTTGACATGACATTTCAGAAGAAATATACCTTTGTATACTATTTTGGGGGATTTTGAATTAAAATATTTACCAG